TTGGAAGATATTCGGATCCATAGACTAAAATGACTCACCTTGTATATATATCCTTATCCGTAATATTATATAATCCATCCGGATTATTTCAGTCTCGAGTGAGTTCGCAAGTCCGGTCGCTTTTGAAATATGAAAATAAATGCGCGAGGATTTATACTCGTATATTGGATCGTTCATTCGATTCAGAGGTCCAAGAGCCCAAAAGACCCTTCGTCTTTTGGCGAAATTTACTGGTACATCTTTAGTTACGTGCCAAATCCAACGGACGCTGCTTTAAACTACCGTAATCCGTTACAGCCTAAGTGGATCATTTCTTTGATAAATCGTAGAAACGTTGCAATTTAAAGCGGAGTTTATGCGGAGAAGGTCTCCCTCTTCTCGAGTAACTTCTTACCCTACATTAAGCTCCACCAAGAGAGCATCCGGAGATATACAAAATCAGAAGTGAGGAAAAAATTCGCTGCCCTAAAGCGCGTGTAAAATTCAACTCATGCTATTATGGAAATTGCAATTTTATCCGCAGAGAATTACGTATTTTGCAAATTACAAGGATAACTTCGAGAAATCGTGATTTCTCTGAATAGAAATCTCGCGGAAACTTTATATGCATCTATAAATGGCTGATCAATACCTTGTAAAAGGTACGACGTTAATAATACGGGAACCTACACTCGATCGTGGGTGCGACAGAATTAAACATATCGAATTCGAAGCTCTTAGTAGTGCTACCCTGCCAATTTCAGCTACACGAATGCCGGAGTAAGTACACGTGTATTACGGGTCCTTCAGGACTACTATAGAATATAGATACTATCTACAAACACAATTGTATTATTTTTAAATACACAAGCGTGTAATTTGGCTGAAGCTGTTTTTGCACGTTTTTTGCGCTTTTAAATCACGCCATTTGATAAATTACAATTTCAATAAATTACAATTTCATACTTTAAATGGCTTGACTTAGGATGGCAAAAAACATGTTAAAAAAGATTTAGCCAGAATAACTCACTTAAATTTACAGTGTGTCCGGGTACCCGGCTAATATCCGTGGATTTGACCTGACCTACTAGCTGGATATCCAGGTATAGAAATGCCCGAGTTATACTGACAACACTAGCTCCTTAGTTTCTCAGTAACCGTCATGACTGACGATTATTCGAACTTTGGCTGTTGAGATACACGAACGATCAGAGAGGAAGATGATCCACTTAATTAACGCGGATCACGACTTCTAGACGGTATAACTGGCCTGTCGATGCCACGTACGCGATAAGAGCGTGAAAGTCGATAGCCACGGTGATAAATCCGACATGCATATGTATCGCAATATCGACGGCTTTGCTTAGGAAATAGCACTTCATACAGAGAGAGAGAGAAAGAGAGAGAGAGAGAGAGAGACTCCGAGTTGGAATCCTTTCCAGGCTTTAAATATCACAAATGCGCGCAGCGCGATAATGTGCACATTCCGCGCAAAATTCATTAGCACGGAAGACAACCGATAATTTTCGGCAGACCGGCGTTCGCACGCCGCGGCTATCAGATACTGCTCGTTTTTTCCTCGTTTTTTTTACAGCTCTTTTCCACTTGTCTGTTTTTTGTAACGTAACAAAAGCGCGCGCGATAAAGTCGGCGGATTGTCTGAATTAAATTGACTCTGGTTGAACATTGATCCCCCATTGTTTTGTCTTGCACGGCGAAAAAGTTGGCGCGCATACGTATCATTCCGCAACTAGCTATCGACAAACTACGTGCGCGTCATCGCTCAAAAAGTTTGATAGAATTACATAAAAAAAATTTAGCGCAACTGAATCGTATTTTTGGTAAAAAAAAAATGATAAAATTATATAGAAAGTACACTGTTAAATATTGGAGGGTCAAATTTAAACCAATTTCTTGAGTTAAATAATATTTAGTTATTTTTAATTATTATGTATGTCAAAATTTACTATTTTACTATTTACTATTTTAACACAAAACATGTGTTTAAAAAAACAACCACATCTAATCAACCCATTTAAAACAATATTAAGTCATTTTTTACTAAAACAAAAGTTACATTAACGTGCACATAATAAAAAATAAACTAAATTTTAATCAAATTTAATACATTTCTTAAGTTAAATTATTTAACTCCATTACATTAGTTAAATTAACGACATATTTAGTAGAAACAGTGGCGACTTATAGGAATGGTTAAAAATAACTCAAATTGATTATAATTTGACACTACGGATTTAACAGTGTATATATTCGGATAAATATTCAACAATCTCTCAATGTAATATTTAATGGTTAAACTGAAATAACTGATATAAAACAAAAGAAATTGGTAATTCTCTCTTATACAAGCCGAAATGTGAAATATTGATATTTTTAATAGGAATAATATGTGTGTTCAAATAAGATCATATAGTATTTCAATGAAATTTGTACATGTTTCTATCAATTTTTACCGAATTTTTTCAAATAGGAATTCTCTCTCTCTCTCTCTCTCTCTCTCTCTCTCTCTCTCTCTCTCTATATATATATAATTTAAATTAAAATAATAAATAATTTAAAATAAAATAATAAATCGTACACTACAAAAACGATTTATACAAGGTGAAATTATGTGTTCGAAATCATATCTGGACTATCGTAATTTGATCGCTATCGCAGATTAGAATGCTTAAGAGGTCACGTACTTCTTTAAGAGTGTAAAACAAATCGGGAAAATACATTGGAATGTAAACATAGACGAGTCCACGCTATCGATTTATCAATTTATCTAAGTTAACAGTCGCAGTTATGAATCAAGTCTCGACCACGAGTCAAACTTGGTTTATTAATATATTAAAAACGTGTACATTATGAAAAGACGGGAAAACTTTTTTTATATTTCTCAGTCCTTTGATAATTGTATTCTAAGGTTAAATTCACAAACATTCTTAATATCTAAAGAGAAGTCTAAGATATCAGGTTATTTCGTCAACTCGTTAGGTTTATGAAAACTGCTGGTAGGTTGTACTACTATTTTTTTGTGTAGACCAAAACAATGTGAATTATAAATATTATTAATATAAAATTGAGCATCGTGTAACAGGCGCGTAATATATATTTGCTGACCCATAATTCCCAGACAATACAATCTACTAAAGATATCTTAAAGACGTCTAAAGTACGTTCTGTTTTTTTAGATGTCTTTTAGATGTCTTTCAGTAATTTATGTAATCTGGGACTTGGAACTCACACACATAAATTTTTCTAATTATTTCTTTATAATTTAAGATGAACTAACTTAAAGTCTAATGATTTTATTTTAAAATCATGATGTTTGCTGACATTGATATATCAACAGTTTGGTCTTAATATTCGATATCGATAAATTTATGTAGATGATTGAAAATCACTTTAACCTTTAGATGACTCACTAATTGGAACCGTTACTGTTATTTCGGAATATTATTTCGGATAATGACGCGCGATAGACAATCGCTATCTAATCGCCGACAAGTTGTCACGATATAAAAGAGATCACTCCACTGGCCGTTGTCCTAAAGTCCTCGCGTGTGCGGACAGTATGACGACGTTCTTCATCATTCTCGTGCTACTTCTGACCGGGTGCCCCGTCCGCGGCGTTACGGGTAAATCGTTAGATTTATGGTTCTTCCGCGGTTCCACCCTTTCTCTGTAGGGACGCAGCCATCCTCGACACCCTCGCGCTCTCTCCGTCTTTCTTCCTCTTTCTCTCTCTCTCTCTCTCTCTCTCTCTCTCTCTCTCTCTCTCTCTGTCTGTACCTACCCTCCGTTCGGTTGCTGTCCTCCCTCCTCGTTCGTGCGGTCTCACGTCCCCGTGCAGAAGCACGCATCCCACCTTTCGTTTGTTTCGGAATTTATCGAGCGTTAAGTTTCTCTTTTTTTTCCTTTACGCGTGGAGAAGCAAAAACGAGGTCCATTTTCGCCGAAAGCCAAACTCCGCTTCTCGTCCGCGCGGCGGGGGGTGCTGCCGAACACGAGGGTGTGTGCGCCCGATCGAGCCCCGTCAACGGCGGCGGACGGGCGGACGTGTACGCGACGTCGTGCGCTAATCGGGCTACGTGAAACTGCGTGCTTGCAGAAAACGTCCTGACTACGTCGGGCCACTCGACGCAGCTGAGGGTGGAGTCGGTCGAGAAGGCGACAAGATGCGTTCTCGAGACTAACCGAGCCCAGGTGTTGGCATACACGCCCGACGATCGCAAAATTAGAAGGGACATCGACCGTAACGATTATGATTGGATAAGCAACAACGAAACGTGCTCGGTCACCATCCGATCAGCTAATAGCACTCACGCGGGCGTGTGGCGAATAACGACCGTGGCGCGGGACGACGAGCATGACAGAAAGAAGACTGATACCCGCGATGACAATGCCACCGCTGCGAAAGTGTTCGCATTCAATCTGTACGTTCAGGTAAATCTCGCGTTACACCGGCCGCGTCCAGTTCTGCCTAACTTTGTTGGCCACCGGATGCGACGAGGGAGACGCTCCGCGAAATTGGTCGCCGTGGGCGACGCTAACGCTCCGCTGCAGAATCGCGGAAGTATTAATTGCACGCAAAACCTCATTGTCACGTCAGCTTCGCGTTTACGTCGTAGTTGCACTCCGGATAATTGCAGGTAGAAAGAACCATGACCGATAAGAGGTATACGTGAAGTCGCGTGTTTCAGGAGAAAGTCGACCTACCTTTCAAGGACATTGAGGTGTACGAAGGACACTACATAAATATTAAGCACGTGAACGACTATGAGAATCTCACGGCGTGCAATTTAACAGGACCCTCGGTATGTCGATTAGAAAGCCCGCATCCAAAATATATGATCTCGTTCTTAGCGGGATTCTCTTTATGTCATGACCCCAAGAGGGGTTTTCTTTAAAACCAAGAATATATTAATATCCATATAATCAAAATATTTTAATATCCAGACAAAGAACTTTAATTGCAAAATATTATTTCCTGTAATCTCGTACTCTAAGCGAGAAATTTTAAAGAAAGAATATTCTCTTCTAATGAAAAAGAACAATATTGTGCTTGGAATATTTTCCTTTTGATCTTAGAAAAGATCCCTTTTGAGGTCATACATAAGAGAATTTCTCCAAAGATGCACTGAGAGAAAAGAATCTAAAAAATAAGAAATATTCCTTAGATGGGTACTAATAAAATATTTATTAATCTATTAAACAACTTTTTCATATAATAAAATATATATTTTTTCTTAGAAACCGTAGCTTTTCAAAAAAGCAATTGTTTATTTTTTTTTTAAATAAAAGAGTATATATTTCAATAAATATATTATCTATCAGTACTCAAAAATAAATATTTTCTTGTTTTTTGGATATCTCTTCTCTCAATGTAAGATTAAATTTTTGCGTATAAAAAACACACATAGATACAGCCAAATGAGTCATATATGAGCGGAATAAATATCTGCAATCTTCGCAATGTTATACTTTATTATTATTCTTCAATCGGAGCTCGAAGAGACACTCATACTCTTAGAAAAAATCTAAAAAATCAAGTATCATAAAAATACCGTAAAGAATCACGGAAATAATGTTATCGTGTCTAGTATATACGTGTAAAATCAATACATGTAATTCCACCCCTTATCGGGGGTGTACATGTGATTTAGAAGCAGTCGGTGGATCTACTGGCGGAGACGCGAGATGATTTTCAACTTTTCGGTCAATGCGGCGTCCGTATGAAAGTGCACGTCAACTCGAGCGGCTTCTGGCAGCTCGTCGCGTTCGACAACGATTTCGTACTGTACGTCGCGAGCTTCGGCGTCACCGTGCACCAGCTGGAAGAGGTGAAACAGCCGGACCCGGCCAATATGGTGAGTCTCGGTCGAGCTTCATGCCCCGCTCTAACCGTATCATCTAACTCTGATATTTGGAGTTCGCGCTCTCTTCGCCGCAATGCGCGACAAAAATTTTTGCGAGTTGCAGCGGGCGTATACGAGAACTATTTTCCGGAAACAATTCGTGAAAGAGAGAGTAAGAGAGAGAGAAAGAAAAAAGAAAACAAAGTCGATACAGAGTTCAAAACAATTGCGTGTGATATATAATCCATTTCATAGGAAATTGTAGGAAAAAGAGCAATCGAGTTCTCATAAGTTTTTAGCTCTATTTTGTGACATTTGAAATGTTAAATTATTTTTGCATAAAATTGTGGCTATTCATGAGTAAATTAAAGATATATAAGTATCAGTATATAAAGTATCAAAGCTCTCATTATTTAGGAGAAAGCACAAAAGATACGTATCCTATATAATTTTGTATAATAAATGATATTGTTAGGAAACATAGAAAATGTAGCAATGGGAAAGATAAAAGTTTACAGGAAACATAGAAAATGTAGCAATGGGAAAGATAAAAGTTTTCATAAATAAAATAATGCGAATTATAAATACTAACAATATGTATTAATTTGGGGTGGCTTTTATCGATTAACTTAATTGTCGATTAATTCCGTTGTGACCAGAAAGTAGCTATTGGCCAATTTTTTATTAGTTACAACGGAATTAATCGACGATTAATAAGTCAACCGATTAAATTTAACTTAAGTTTAATTTAATTTAATTTAAATTTAATTTAATTTGAATTTATAATTTAATTGTAACCAAACGATTAAAAGTAACTTAATATTTCGAATGCTGCAAAATGGGGCTAAATTTGGCTGCACTCTTTCATTTATCGTATCAGATTTCGAGTATTCGGCTGCGCTTTGCATTATCGTGAACGTCGATTATATATTTACGGACTCAGGTGAGAATTTACAAGCAAACAGATATATATAATGAAATTAATATTGCACATCCGTCGCGTGCAATTATATAGCGAGAGAAAAAGTCCCACGTGTTTATTAAACGCCCGCGACACTCGAGATTGTCACCGAAAATGCTTATATATTTATTACTCATCCATCATTATTCATTAGTCACTCGCAGAGACCCTATAAATCAAGCAGATCCATAAAATATACAACGTACATACTTGAAAAAACTTGTATAAACGCGGGAATTTTTTTATTTTCTCCCCAAAATGTGCGTGATAACGTGTAATGCAAAAGTATGTAATAATTTATTTGTTTTCATCATGCGTTGACATACATATACACACTCGGGAAAAATTATATGAACAATCGATATTCCCGTTGCAAATATCGTACATCTTGTTTTGGAAACCAATAAAAAACCAAATAAATTGGAAAATTTTAAAAGAGCAGGCAAAAGCAAATTAAAGCCTGAAATTAAACAGAAAAATATTGACTAAGTTAATATTATAGAAGCAAGAAGTAAAATAAGGGAAAAGTTCAATACGGGAAAAGTTTCTAAGAGTTAATAAGGTAGAGGCGTATATTCTGAGAAAAAAAGATGTGAATAATATATATTTATTCGCTATGTACTATGATAACATATTTTCTTATATTAACATAAAATATTTTTTAAATAAGAAAATACACATTTTCTAAAAACCTTAAGACCTTAGTTTTTACACGAAGGCAATTGTTTATTCTATTTAAATAGAAAAATTTAGATTCAAGTAAATATGTTATCAGCACCCACACGGAAAAAAGGTTTGGTTGAATTAACTAAATATCTGGTCGAATATAAACGATCCAGAAATTCCGATGGAAATAACCCGAATTCTATTTAAGTTAACAAGATTTTTGGTTGACTTAAACAGAATTCGGGTTACTTCAATCGGAATTTCTGGATCGTTCATATTCGATCAGATATTTAGTTAATTCAACCAAACCTTTTTTTCCGTGCAAATAAATATTTGTTAGATATTTTTTTCTCTCAGTATATGAAGCTACAGCACGAAAACGTGGATAATCAAACTTGAAACGTGGATAACCATACTTTACTTAAAATTCAAAATAATAGCCTTACATGATTTTAACTTATAATAAGGGTTATAAACCCTTGAGGGAGAGAACTCTTTGTTAGCCATCCTCCGTTTATGTATTTGTTTCGCACTTCTGCAATATTCCGTTTATGTATCTGACTCGCACATTTGCAATTCTCTCCTATTAATTCGAATGATTTCGCAGAACTTCGGGGTTAAGCCGTGCATAGAATGGCACCAGACTTTTAATATCGCTCTCACAGCGTCTCTCCCAATTCAATTTTCGAACGAAACAGGGTCAGAGATGAATGAAGATTTAACATCGAGGTGAACAACACAAGACATGAGCGTAAAATTATGTTCCCCGCGGTGCCACGTTTGAATCGAAAGAACCAATCACGCGCTCCAGTCGACCTCGACAACGACGTCGCGTTGTCGGCAGCTGGTGTAACTGCGCCGTTGGCGCCGGTCGTGCACTTCGACTTGCGAATCGGCTCAGGTAGCGAACATTGTACGTAAGTATATCGGCTTATGTCTTATCGCTCGCGAGTTAAGCACCGTCCAGCTTGCGGTAAAAGCGAGCGAGATCGAAATCGAGGGCGTGCATTTACGGTTACTAGATTCGATCATCATTCGGGATTACGGCCAACCAGAAGTTCTCTCTTCCTCTCTCTCTCCCCCTCTCTATATCCTCCTCTGCCTCTCTCTTCCGTGTGCCGGATACGCGAGGTTTTATCGCGACGGTTCGGCAAAATCGACCCGCGTGTCGTAGCGTACGTCCTCCGGAAAACAAAGTAACGATCAAACGCGGACCTACATGAGCGCGCTGCTAATGGTCTGCATTTCCCATCGGGATAGTCGAGTTTCGCGAATGGCGCGTTGGGAGTCGCAAGCGAAGTTTTCTCCAAACGGTCGCCGCGGCTGTGACGATGCAACGACGTTCGAATCCGCCGAAAAAAAGGGGAACGACACGAATCTTGGCAGGGCGGGCGATAAAAATAGCGTCACGCTATTTCGCGCGATCGCTTATTTGTGCCCGATATTTTGGATTAACGGCAGTTCATGCATTCGTAATTAGGCAATACGCTGTAACTCCCGATTGAATTATTGAGTCGGGGAATATAGCGCCGCGCATATACCGTTGATAATTCAATAGATTATTTATAATATTTGTACGCACATGTGTAATGTGTGTATGTGCATGCGCGCATCCCTTGAATCGGAGCAATCGTGCGATCGTCAATTATTCGCACGCTCTTACGGGATATTGCGGGTCTCCGAGGAAAAAAGGGATCGAACATGATCGCACATTTGTCGCGCTGGACACGCTGGAAATCGATGATTTCTTCGGCTAATTCGCCGTGTTTATTAATTTTCGCAGTAAATCGCCCGGCAAAACGCCCGTGTTTTATTTGCCAGCAGCTTCGGAAAGTTGTGAACGTCCAGTGGGAAACGGCCGAGAGATCGAAGAGCGATTATCCCGGCGATCGTCCGCTTTTCCCTTAAAATCCCCCAAATTTGGCGCACCGGCGGTCGCGCGCGGCCGAAAGCACGTTGCAATAAACTGTCGCAAAATAGCAGCGTAAAAATAAAAGTAACGATCGGGCTTCGGGCTGCACATTGCGATCGCGTTTAGACGTCGCCCGCCGAAACGCCGCTCGCCTTCAAAAAGGGGAAGAAATAGAAAAAGATAGAAAGAGAGACGAGAGAGGGAGAGAGAGAACGGCTCCGGCTTTTAACGGAAAAGCGGGCTCGCGTAGGACGTGCGGAGCCCGGCGGGGCCTGAATGCGCCGAATAATCTTCGATGTCGCTAACGAGAGTGCACACCGCCGTTTACAGGGACGGGTTCCGTACCGAGAAGTTGTACCAACTCACGCCAACTTACTATAATAGACGGCTAACGAGATAGCCGGGGCCGAACGCGCGCGAGCTATCGCTGTTTCGTGGAACACGTAGCTAACGTTAAATGCGATGTAACAAATGTTAGAAAAACGAAGGGAGAGATGCTTGTAACCTCGCTACACATACGCCACTCGCTCGTTAGTTCAAAAGAAGAATGTCGCGAGGGAGAAAAAAAGAATATAAAAGCCGGAAGAGAAGTTGGCAGAACAGAGCGCGTTGTGTTTTAAAACGCGTGTGCGTGGGAGGGAACAGATTCTGCACGATGACTATCTTCGTTATTATCGCTGAACGAAGTTGTGTGTGTATGTGTATGATCGACTGGTCGTTTCCTCAGTCGCGGTAGATCCTAACGAAAAGATCATGGGCGGAAATTAATCCGAATTAAAAATTAATTCGATTTTAGCATAAAGAAAAGACAAGACAAACGAACTGTATGCGTTTATAGTTTCAAAGAGCGAAAATGTCGATAACGTAAAGACGATATGAGCGCTTGAAATTAATTGAAGAACAGTTTTTATTTTCTACTAATTGCTCCATTTTTTTATTAATGGCGTCTTTTTTATTCATTTTTTAAGAGTTAAGCTTGTTAATGAATATTTTTAAAAAAGAAAGTATTGACCATGCTTAATTTCTTGAACGATTATGGGGACCTCAATGTTATCTATAATTTATAATCATCTTATAATATTTATCATTTATAATCATAAAATCTTCATCTTCATTTTTTCCGGAAAGTATTCCATGTGGATTGAGTCATTCTTGCATAACTACGATAATTTCTTATACATATAGATCTTATTAAACGTGTATTCCGTTTCACCATATTCAGCGGAAAACCTCTCATATATAGAAATCTTTCTGCAAACTTTTCGCATATTTTTAAGCTTCTAAATTCAGTTGTGGAGGCACAGCAATCTTCTTTGAAATCTACCTGAGCGGAGGAGGCACGCGTTTCAAATGTAGAAGAACTACAGAACTTTCGTATGAGTAAATATCTGCTCTAAGTGTGACACAACTCGAGATGTAAATTTTAAAATTCATCGTTTTCCTCACGTATTGAGCAACGCTCCAGTTTACTTACGCACCTGCTTTCGTTGTGTGTAAGAACATTTGTAAATCTGTGCAAATAATACGACGTAAAGTTTGCAGAACAAGGTCCGTATTTTGTCGGTACGGTTTTCAAGTATGGCATCCCTTTAAATCGCCCAACTCTCTCTATTTGTATTCCGCGAGTCGCGGAAACCCCAATAATGCACGCGCGCATGATAAGATAACAATCGCGATAACTGGATCGCTGTACAGGGGGTGCGAGTGTAATTAACATCTACATATACGATGAACTTGACCGCTTGTTATCGTTACGCAAGATCTGATCAAATTATTGGTACGGGCGATCTAACAGACACACTCTCTGTTAGCACGTTTCTTCATTTGTACATGGCTGAGTAGTCATTAACTCGATAACCTCTATCTATCTTTGAGGTCGCTAACTTTTCTCGATCTTTTCACCTGAAACCGTAATTAATAAATAGATTATGAATAAACGTTTGTCTACCTATATGTTTATAATTAATTGAAAAGACAAATTTTATTTCCTTTGTATTTTATTACGCATGGCAAAAAAGTTTGATTGGACTAACTAAATTTCCTGTGAAATATAAACGAACCAGAAATTTCAGAATTCAAGTTACCAGAATTCTGTTTAAATTAACAAGATTTCATCAGGATTTTGCTTAATTTAACCAAATATTTTTTCCGTGTAATTTTTAATTTTTTTATTTTCTAATGTTTTAATATTTTTTAATATTTTTAATATATTGTAATATTTTCTAATTTTTTTTTCAAAAAATTTTACAATTATATCAATATTTCTTTGATGGTAAAAGGATATTAAAAAGGAAAATCTTTCAACAATGTTGGTATATTCAGTAGGTATATTAAATTTGCCATCAGCTTCGTAACAATCTCTCTATATGTATTTGCAAATTAATATATCTAGCATTTGAATTAATTCACCTCGCACGATCGCATGTATCATTTACTTCACATTGTACGATTCAACTTTTTCGGCGCAACGAAATTCGTTAATGGTAACGGGATCTCTGAATTATTCGCGCCGAACAAAGTAATGAAACACGCTGTTTCGTACAGAGACAGAGTTGGACGAGGGAAAGGGAGGGAGGAAGGGCGGAGAGAGGATACGCTCGTTAAACGCGAAATTGTATATTAGATTGTAAAATCTAATAGCCACGCGCTAGCATGATATAATCAGCATCACGCAAACGCATTAATTAATCTCATTACGAATTATAGCTGATACAAAATTATCGACAAATATGCCTTCAATAGTAATTGGCTTTCCGGAACTGCATTCGCCGCGCGTTACCATTTAGTAAATACCGTACGCGCAATACGCGCGCGCAATTCGTCCAAGGATTATAGATATTCGGCACTTATTGATTGCCGATATTAGATAACGGATACCTGAGAAGCCGCGCGGCGTGCGCGCGTCATTGCACGACGACGTCGTCCGGCCGGTCGGGGTCTCGCTTTTCCTAATTAGGAGGAGAGAAAGAAGTGGTCCACACGGCAAGTGACGCGTGAATGCTTATCACGCGAGATATTACATTGCTAACAAACACATATACCCACACACATACACACATGCATGTCAGCCCACATAAATCAACGAACTCGTCATCGACGTGATCCCCGCATCGCGTCGCGCCGTTACGCTTCATTTCACTAAATAACGTTCGATTGAATCCCGGCACGATCTTGGATGGATTAGTTCCGTTATTGGCTGTAACAGCTGGAGCTTTTTTCCGATAGTTGGTCCTGCAGTGGGTTCGCGGCAACGCGGGCGTGATCAGACTTCCGGTCAGTCCGGAAATTTGCCAAATAGTGGATCCCAGTGGCGCGATCGTGGCGATATCGCGCCGCCAGTGTTACCACAATGTGAAGGTCGCCACCGTGCTGCACGAGGGTGTATGGCTCGCCCGTTACAATATCTATGGGATGCTGGATCCTGTCGAGCTGCGATTCAGAGTCGTGACTGTGGGTAAGATTTTTTCGCGCGGAGAAACGGCGGGAGATCGATTTCGAGCGGCAAGATATAAAAGGAAAAGTCGCGAGGCTTACGGATATTCGTAAATTTTAACTTAAACTCGTGAGCCACGAGAGTGTGTAAAGTTGTAGAACTCTCGGGACGATCGGCTCAATCAGCAGTTTGGTCTCAACGACGTAACTGAGTTGATTATATTAGGACCTTAACTTAGTTTCCGCCCGCAAATGTTAGATGGCAATGCAAACAGTTCTAGTAGTCATTACTAACGAAACAGGTAGTTTGTGATTAATTTCGACATTTCTCGATAACATTCAGTCAGCATACACAATTATTTTCCTAAACAACAATTTCTTTTGCTTTGTGAAAAATGGAACGCGATAAAGTGTTTTTTCGACATGTGCTTTTGCACTATTTT